GAAGAATTGATGCCTTTGAATTATGGTGTTGGTGAAGAATATTGAATATACTATGGACTTCCAGAAGAAGAAATAAACCTGTCTTGGAAGAAGTACAGTCAGAATGCTCCTTAGAAGCAAGGATGGTGAGACTTCATCTCAGGTACTTTGGGTCTGTTATCAGGATGGACCAGTCCTGGGAGAATACATCACGCTTGGTAAAGTAGACAATTAGCTAAAAAAGAGGAAGACCCTCAACAAGATGTATTGACGCAGTAGCTGCAACAATGGGCTCAAACATAACGATTCTGAGGATGGCACAGGCCCAGGAAGTGTTTCGTTCTGCTGTACATGGGTGGAGATGCTATGAGTCGGAACCGATTCGATGGCACCTAAAAAGAACGAATCCTCTGTGACCTCTGTCCAAAATTCTAGCTTCAAACCTCCAAGATTATACAGCCAAGAATCTTATCTGCATGGGAATGGCTGCCTTGATCCTGCTCATACTCGGGGTGCTGCTATACCAGGAATGAGGCAGAGACGGCCCCATGATACAGCCTGGAGGTAAACACAATTGAGAACAATTGCAACATTCAGAGTGGTAGAGCCTGGAAAAAATCTGATGTGGACAGGAGGTTCTGAAAGAAAATCTAGGAATATGCTGTATGAACTGCCTTTTCAAGGGGGAGAAAACATTGTTCAAGAACAGGAAAAACATCTGAGGTATTTCTTGTAGAGGACTTTTCTTCCATTAAATGTGATACTTTACTGCTGTTGTTGACTTTCCAGGACCGGCTCCCCTTCTTTCCAACCCCTAGGACATGAGGCTACTTCCCACATGGCAGGTTTGGGTTTACATCTCTATACCGCTTCTAGCCTCCTTTCATATAATACATTTTTCTTTATTTCTGATTACCACATTCCATACATGTAATACATAAAATACATATCACTAGAAAAGGGCATTATACTTGGTAAAGTAGCCGGTCGGTGAAAACAAGGAAACCCTCAATGAGATGATGTTGTTTTTTTTATGTTAATGACGCATGGTTAGTGTAGGGTGTGTCTTGAGTCAATCTCTTTTCTATTTTTTTTTAATTGTTTAAAATTGTACTTTAGATGAAGGTTTATAGAGCAAACTAGTTTCTCATTAAACAATTAATACACATAGTGTTTTGCGACATTGGTTGCCAACCCCACAACATGTCAACACTCTCTCCTTCTTGAACTTGGGTTCCTCATTACCAGCTTTCCTGTTGCCCCCTGTCTTCTCATTCTCACCCCTTGGCTGGTGTGTCCACTTAGTCTCATTATGTTTTATGAGCCTGTCTAATCTTTGGTTGAAGGGTGAACCTCAGGAGTGACTTCACGACTGAGTTACAAGGGTGTCCGGAACTCGGGGCTCGAAATTTTTCTTCAGTTCTTTCAGTTTGAGAAATGCCGACTGTTCTCTTCCCTTTTGGTTTTCTACCTCCAGGTCTTTGCACATTTCATCATAATACTTTACTTACTCTTCTTGAGTCACCCTTTGAAATCTTCTGTTCAGCTCTTTAACTTCATCGTTTCTTCTGTTCACTTTAGCTACTCTACTTTCAAGGGCAAGTTTCAGAGTCTCTTCTGACATCCATTTTGGTCTTTTCTTTGTTTTCTGTCTTTTTAAGGACCTCTTGCATGCTTCACGTATGATGTCCTTGATGTCATTTCCACAGCTCATCTGGTCTTTGGTCATTAGTGTTCAATGTGTCAGATCTACTCTTGAGATGATCTCTAAATTCAGGTGGGACGTACTTAAGGTCGTACTTTGGCTCCCGTGGACTTGTTCTAATTTTCTTCAACTTCAACTTGCATGTGAGCAACTGATGGTCTGTTCTGCAGTCAGCCCCTGGGCTTATTCTGACTAATGATATTGAGCTTTTCCATTGTCTCTTTCCACAGATGTAGTCGATTTGAATCCTCTGTATTCCATCTGGCGAGGTCCAAGTGTATAGTCATCATTCATGTTGTTGAAAAAAAGGTATTTGCAGTGAAGAAGTTATTGGTCTTGCAACATTCTATCATGCCATCTCTGGCATCATTTCTATCACCAAGGCCGTATTTTCCAACTACTGATTATTTGCTTCCAACTTTCACATTCCAATCACCAGTAATTACCAATGCATCTTGAATGAATGTTTGATCAATTGCAGACTACAGCGGTTGGTAAAAATCTTCAATTTCCTCATCTTTGACTTTAGCTGTTGGTGTGAAAATTTGAATAATAGTCGTATTAACTGGTCTTCCTTGTAGGCATATGACTATTATCCTATCACTGACAGCATTGTACTTCAGGATAGATTTCGAAATGTTCTTTTGGACGACGAATGTGATGCCATTCCTTTTCAATTTGTCATTCCCAGCATAATAGGTCATACGATTGTCTGATTCAAAATGGCCAGTACCAGTCCATTTCCGCTCACTAATGCCTAGGATATCGATGTTTATGGGCTCCATTTCATTTTTGACTATTTTCAATTTTCCTAGATTCATACTTCTTACATTCCATGTTCCAATTATTAATGGATGTTTGCAGCTGTTTCTTCTCATTTTGAATCTTACCACATCAGCAAATGAAGGTCCCGAAAGCTTGACTCCATCCATTTCATTAAGGTTGACTCTACTTTGAGGAAACAGCTCTTCCCAAGTCATATTTTGATTGCCCTGCAACCTGAGAAGCTCATCTTCTGACACTATATCAAACAATGTTCTTCTGCTATTCATAAGGTTTTCACTGGCCAATCTTTTCAGAAGTAGACTGCCGGGTCCTTCTTCCTCATGTTTCTTAGTCTGGAAGCTCAGATGAAACCTGTCCACCAAGGGTGACCCTGCCAGTATTTGAAATACCAGTGGCAAGGCTTCTAGTATCACAGCAACACAAAAGCTACTACAGTATGACAAATTGACAGACATGTGGTGGTTAGAATTCTATACCTACTCAAAATTTATTCCTTGAAGATATTTTTCCAATATCTTCTGGGACCAATTTTTGTTCTTGGAAAGTCCAGCCCCAAAGATATTGTTATTCTATTGAGGGTAAATTGCCTTTTCTCTTGAAAGTAATTTTAGCATTTTTTTTAAAAGTTGCACCTTGATGTTCCTCATTTTATTATGAAGAATGAAGATCAAGGTTTCCTTTTGGAATTTATGCACCTTAGCACATAGCTGATCTTTCTTTATCTCTATAAAATGTTTAACCATGTATATCCTGGTCTGCAGCCAAACATTCTCACTCTTTCCTTCTGACACTCACAAGAGATATACATAGGCTCTTCTTATTCCGTAACCCATGTATCTTATTTTTCTATTTATCTTAATTGTCTAATGTCAGGCTGCCCATGTTCTGGATCATTGAACAGAGATATTCCAGTAACTGTCCACAAACATGGGGAAGGGGTCATTACAGCTTCATACATCACCCGGGAGCCTCAACCCCACCCTGTCCTGTAAGAACCATGTGCTTCCTTTCCTGTCTCCACACAGAGGTGGAAACCTTCACCTTAATGACACCTTGCTAATCCCAGGCAGCTGTGGTCACTCAGCTTTGGTCTCTATTCTTTGCTCTGGTTCCCTCTCCATTTTGGGTACTTTCATTTCTTTTTTTCTGCATATGACTTTGATATTCTTCATATTTCAGAAACTTTATATGTAACATTTCTCAACGTTCAGAAGAATGGTCACTTCAATTCTTCATCTTAACCGTGGAGCCAACACCATGATCTTCTCAGATCCCAATCTTGCATGTCTTAGTCTGGTCAGGAAATGAACAATGATTAAGCCCTGCCATGCCCCAGGCACCAATGACTCCCATAACCACTCTGAAGAGTAGGCTTCATTACAACATGCTTCAATGAGGAAAACGAGTCTCGGAGAAGGGATATTAACTCAAAGACATACAGGTCAGGAATTAAATGAAAATTATCATTTTTTCCATATTTGGAGTTCTAACCCCATTCATTGCCCCCCAAAGCTTGAAGACAGAGCAACAGGGAGGTGGAAAGTTTGCCTGAGGAAATAAGGGCACTGAGGAGGTGGAAATAACTCAGAGGTTTGTTTCCAGGAATATGGGGTAAAGATATCTTGGATAAGGAAAAAAAGGACGGGGTCTCTCTAGTAGAGAAAAACCCTCAGTGTATGGGCAAGAGAAGCAATCATGTTTTCTTTGTATATTTCCCTGTATTTCTCTTTGTACTCATAACCACAGTATAACTAGACTTTAACTGTGTAGTGAGTTGTTGAAGGTTTGTCTCTGTGGATCTGAGCTCTGCAGGGCAGACTATGAATCTGTGTCTTCCTTGAAGCATCTTCAGGGACTGGCATGATGACAGGCAATGGTAACGGCCCAATAACAACATGTTGACAGACATGCTGAAGGAGTGGAGGATGTCCTTGGGGAGAAGGTCTGAGAAGAGAGGTGATGTACCTTCGGTTGCACTCAGCATAGAAGGAACCAACTCAGGATTGGCCCTGGGGTCTATTGGTTTCTATGTCTGAGACTTTGTGAGATGAGCACTGTCATGGATTGAATTGTGTCCCCCCCAAATATCTGTCAACTTGGCTAGGTCATAATTCCCAGTATTGTATGATTGTCTACCATTTTGTCATCTGATGTGATTTCCCTATGTGTTGTAAATCTTATCACTATGATGTTAATGAGATGGGTTAGCGGCAGTTATATTGATGAGATCTACAAGATTAGATAGTGTCTTAAGCCAGTCTCTTTCGAGATATAAAAGAGAGAATCGAGCAGAGAGACATAGGGACCTCATACCACCAAGAAAGTAGTGCTGGGAGCAAAGCAAGTCCTTTGGACCCAAGATTCCAGTGCAGAGAAACTCCTAGACCATGGAAAGATTGATTATAAAGACCTTCCTCCAGAGCCAACAGGGAGAGAAAGCCTTCCCCTGGAGCTGATGCCCTGAATTTGGACTTGTAGCCTACTAGACTGTGAGAGAATAAATTTCTGTTTGTTAAAGCGATCTACTTGTGATATGATATTTCTGTTATAGCAGCACTAGATGACTAAGACAAGTACAGATTAGGCAGACAGCAAACAGGGTCAGACCTCATTTCTGCCTAAAATGTCTCCAGAGAGCCTGATTCCCACTTAGCCACAGTCCTGGGGAACTGAGAACCAGGCTCATGGGGAGAGGTTGTTTCCCTTCTTGTAGAGTCATGATTTGACAACCCTGTGATGGGTAGGACCTAGCCTCCTAGTGGCCAAACACTTGCGTCTTTCCTGCTGAGAGCCATGGTCTCATCCTTCTGCACAAATACAGTGGGAGAGGACACCATAACCACCACCCTCAAAGTCCTGCTTGGGCTCGGTGAGATTTAAAGAGGGGAAAGGGAAACTCTAGTCCAAGGGTGGGGCTCTACCCTACAGCCAGCACTTCTGTGGTTCAAGTTCTCGGGAAGCTCAAGGAGAAAAGAAGTTCTGCTCAGGCTTCAGGGGACAAATCTCTCACCAGGATCTCTCTTCCAGGGCTGAGTCTAGGCCAGAGGACCCCAGTTCAGGAAAACGAGTCCTTCTTAGGTTTCCCGGGTCCTTGTTCTGTGATAATGGTGATCAGTCTGGGAAGGACCTTTTGGGCAAGAACAGGAGGAAATGAGGAAAATGAAGAATACCCTTAAGCCAGCCCGATTTCTGTTCAGGAACCCTTCTGAAACCCACAATCTGGGCTGGTTCCCATTTTTAATATGAGGAAATGTAGACTTAAAGTGGCGTAACTTCTTGCCCAAGAAGAGATGGTCATTAGTTTGTGGAGAAGGGACTGATGTTCAAGTCAGTTTGTTTCATAATCTGTGTTCTGTCTGGCCCCACAGATTAAGAGCAAGTTTAATGTGTAGGGGGTTTGATTAGAGATAAGCTCAGCCTCATTCTTAGCATTTGGATATGAAACATTTTTCAGCAGGGAAGTTGCCCCACAACCCCTGACCCCACCTCTTTCAGGGGTAGAGTGGAAAGAATGGGGGAAGAAAATCTCTTCCCCTTTTGTGTGATGTAGAATCCTCAAGACAGGGCCCAGCCAATACATCCTGTTCATTGTGTCTGCTGCAGGGCTCTGTCCACCATCAGCTCCAGGACAGGGCAGGCTTTGGGGGCTGTGCGATGTCTCCTACACCCACCACCCTCCTGGGCCTCTGTAAGTCCAGGAATGACTCAAAGAATTAGAGGACAAAAGGGTGGTACAGTCCAGGTCAGGAGTGCCCTTCCTTTCAGTCCTGACTCCATCCGGTAGATTCTGGGACCTGGGAGAGGAAAGCCACCCCCTCCAGGGATCTTCTCTCTCAGCTCTTACCGTGGGTCTGACCACAAAAGGCTTCTCTCAGAACTGGGTACAGAGGGATGGCAACAATTTCAGATTCAAGAAGGGCTGGACTAAAGTATTTGGAAGAGGGGGTTTTCAGATTTGTCTTGAAACTATTTCAGGGGAAGGATTATATAGTCAGATTAACGTTGAAAAGGGATAGTTTGGAAATTATGGGAGGCTAAATCCCTTCTTAGGTCCCCGGGTAGCACAAAAGTTTGGTGGTTGGAAACCACCCAGAGGCAGGAAGACAGGTTGGTTGATCTGCTTCTGAAAGGTTACAACCTTGAAAACTCTATGAAGCAGTTCTACTGTGCACACATGGGGTGGCTCTGAGTCTAAATTGACTCGGCAGCAGCTAACTACAACAACGACAAAACCCTTCTTACTCCATCAAGTCATCAGGTGGTAGTGGCCCTGTAAGGAAATAGAGTGGTGGGCATTTATCTCACTGGGATTTTTTTTTCCAGTGCTCTGCCTGGGACCAACGATCCAAGCACGACAGGGTGAGTCATGTCTTTAACCCTCCAGCTGCCTCTCCATCCCAAGGGCAGCTGTTGAGTTAGAGTGATGCTGATTCTGGGAGGAACTGGGTGGAGACCCTTAAATATCCTTCAAACTGCAAATGACCCCACATGTAGAACTGTAGTGCACTTCTCTCTTCTGTTCTCCACCTGTCTTCTTAGTAAGAAAAAACAAACAAAACAGTCACAATCTAGTTGATGCCAACTCATGACGGAAACCCCTTGTTTGTCAGAGTAGAACTGTGCTCCATAGGGTTTTCAATGGCTGTTTTTTGGAAGTAGATCACCAGGGCTTTCTTCTGAGGTGCCTCTGGTTGGACTCGAACAACTAACCTGTCAGTTAGTGGCCAAGTGCTTAACCATTTGGACCAATCAGAGACTCAAATCTTCTTTGTAGCTCCACTTAATGCACCAAAGACAGCTCAGAGTCAACATGTGCAAAGCTGTCCATGAGCTCTCTCCATACAAGCCAATACTTCCTTCTACATCCCCTTGGCAGGGAATATTACAGTCCCAAAGGGCAGAATCTGAGAATTCATCCTAGATCCCATCTTCACCCTCCTCCTCCTATATGTTGCACATCTCCAAATCATGTTGATTTTACCTCCTGCATTTTTCTCAAGTCTTCTTTACCACTTTTTCCCTGGCCCCATCCAAACCACCTCCACCTCTTAGCTCCATGGCTGTTATTGCCCCCTCATCAGTAGGTCTCCACCATCTACCCATGCTTGCTTCTTGCCCACTCCCTTGTCCATACCAAAGTGATGACTGTTCACATTTTAAAAGCACAATTATGATCATTTTAGTTTCCATCACATAATTTTATCTAAAAATTTTTGTCTAAATTTTATATTTTTCATTATTTATTTGAGTATTTTTTATGTTATTTCATTTATTTTTTATTTTCACCTCTTTCATTTTTTATTTTTCACTTATTTTATTTTTTTCACTTATTTAAAATTTTTTTAAGGCAAAATTTTATTTTTCCTTGAAGTTCTCCCACAGTTTATCTTCAAATAGGATCAAACTCCCTTTTTTCTGACCTCTATTTTCTCAGGCACATCTGACCCCCTTGCTTCTGGTTCACTTATCCCCAGACACCTTGGTTTTCTTTCAGTTTTTCAAACACGCCATGTTCTCACTCCACAGAAGACTTTCTCACAGGCTGATTTCTCCTCCACCCCCTATCTGCTCAGCTGAGGTAACTCTGCCCTCAACTCTCAGCTCAGAGACCCTTAGAGATGGATTGGTGCTTCCTCTCATCTGTCCCTTCTGATTTCTGGAGTCACCTCCGAGGACACTTGTCATAGTTTGTAGTATAAATTTGGACAATTATTTGATCAGCCTCTGTCTTGCCTCCCAGACTTTCAGCTCTAAGAGGGCAGGGATTATGTCTGCGCTTCTAGTAATTGTGAAATTAGTGGTGCATGCAAAGGATAGAGAGGGAAGGAACTAGTATGTGGTTGAAAGAATGAATCAGTGCATGAGTGGGTAAGTGAATGAATGAATAAGTGAGTGAGAGAATGAATGAGTGAATGAATTAGTGAGGGAGTGAATGAATGGATGAGTAAGTGAGAGTGTATGAAAGAGTGAATGGAAGCTCTGCTAGCCTCAGTTGCAGGCCCAGGGCTCATCCTGCCTTGTTCCCGTCATATTTTTGCTATCTTTGACACACCCTTCCTGTTTCAGGGTTTCAAGTCCCTCTCTCCTCTACCCTCTTTATCCAAGTTGAGACAGGCCAGGGTTTTTCAAGAGACTTAATAACAAGAAAATGGAAATAGGCTCAGATGGATGTAGAAAATACCCTGGAAAACCCAGGATGTGATTGCTCAACAGAGGCCTTGCATTAGAGACAGGGAGCCCTCTTTTGCTGGGCGTCCACTGGGAGCTACGCCTGTGCTGGGTACATTACCCATACCTCTTCTTGGGTTACCATAAGATATTTGCAGCCCCCTGTCCCTGCACCTCCCATAATCTCAGCAAGGACTGGTCCCAGCCTCAGACTCATTCCTGTCAACCCCACATTCCTCTTTCTCTTGCTAGAAGTCCCCGTGAAAGTCCTGGCCATGTCCAGCCTGTCTTTCCCCCTACCCCTCTCTGTTCCCTGGAAAGTGGTCATGGGCAGGGATAGAGCTGGACGCTGCGGAGATACACTCGGGATCTGGTGTGGTTTAGTGACATACTTACTTCCTGTGTGGCACTGAGCAAGGCCCAAGGTGTGACCAAGTCTTGTTCCCCTTATTGTCAAGAGGAGAAAATAGTTCTGCAGTGATGAGAATTTAAATGGATGTGGAATGGTATGAGAGGTCTTTCCAGGATGATGGAAGTGTTCTAAGCTTGGATTGTGGTGACGGTTGCACAACTCTACAAATATACGAAAGTAATTGCATTGTACAGCTAAAAATGGGTGAATTTTGTGGAAAGGTGATTTCCTCACGAGTGAACCCTCAGGTGTTTGCTCTGATTCCTTCCTAGGGTACCTGCCCAGACCCTCCATCTCAGCCGAGCCAGGCTCTGTGATCCCCTGGGGGACGTCTGTGACCTTTGTGTGCCAGGGCCCTCCTGAGGTTGAAGTATTCCTATTGGAGAAGGATGGAAAGCCAGATTCACTCCCAGATGTGAAGAACTCTTCAGGGATTGAGACAGAGGCTAGATTCCCCATCAGCTCAGTGAAGACAGACACTGCAGGGCGTTACAACTGCATCTATTTTATAGGGAATGCCAATTCTGAACCCCGTGAGTTCCTGGAGCTGGTGGTGACAGGTGAGGCACCATCCAGGGCTGCCTCTCATCTCATACTCTCTCCTCATGTTTGTTCCCAGGTCCTGGGTCCTGTCCCCAGCTCCACTATCTCTCAACAGACCCCCAGCCTTCCTCCAGCCTCTCCTCCTATATACTTTGGCTCTCTCTCTCCCTCAGCACACCTGTCCCCTCTGCTTTCAGACACCTCTGAGGTTCCTGGAGACCTGGGTCTTGTGTGGACACAATGAAAAACCTGGACACTCTGCTCCAGCATCAGGAGGGGGACAGGGCTGGGCACTTCTGGGTGGGTAGGCAAATGGGTTCCCAGTTCCCTATGGTTCCTCTGTACAGAAATTCGTTGAAGAACAGACTCCCTTCAAAGGAAGGTGTATCTTTTTGTTCAGGATGGCATGTTAAACGATCTCTTAAACTGATACAGAATAACTGTGACCCCAGGCAATATGTTGCCCTGTGGTGTGGTCCATCCCTCCCATTGGACAGATCCACACCACCCAGGGATGGCCTATAGACTAGGGGTGGACAGTTCTTTGGGGGAACCTATGGGGTGAGACAGGCACTGCCTTATGTTTGCTCAGACCCCAGTGAGGTCCTGGAGTTAAGGTCCAGTGAGGAGGCTCAAACCCAATGCATGCGGTCCCAGGGCCTCCCACAGGTGTTGCATGCTGGTTCTGTGAAGTGAAGAATGTTGGAGCATAGTGCTTGCTCTTCTCCCACTTTCCCTACCTGAGTCTTTTGCCCTTGGTCCTACCTGCCTGGGATCGAGTCTCACAAGTAGTGATAGGACCAGGCTCAGAGCATTACAACCCTGGACATGGACTGGGGGTGGGGAAAGGACAAGACAGCTCATGATGGAGGTGCAGAGGGGTGACCAGCCCTCAGCAGAGTGACACAGGGGGATGTCTCTCTCTCAGGTTTCTTCCCCCTACCCAGTATTCTCAGGAGTCTCTGGCTGTTGCCTGTGATTGAATGATGGTCAGATGTGGTCTTGAAATGGATACTCAGGAGAGAAAAGGGCCAGGCTGAGGGGGACAGACCATTATCAACCCCATATAAGATCTCAATGCTTGTCCTGGCCCATTCACAGGAGCCTCTGGAGATTTCAGATCCCCACCCACAGAGCCCGGCTCCTCTGCTGCTGAGTAGATGAGGCCTAGGCCTGGAGGTGGGTTACTAGGGGTCCCTCTGCTGTGAATTGGGCTGTAGGGCCCAACCTCTGCCATAGGCTTAGAACCAGGGGCCAGTAAAACCAGAGTAAGGAACTGACATCTCTGGTCAAGGGACGTCCCTAAATATCACAAAGACGATGATAACAACACTAACAATAATTGAAAACTAACTCTATGCCAGGCAGTATTTAAAGCACATAATTCTCACAGCAACTTCATGAGGGAGGTATTACTCTGGTCTTCTCTATTCGCCCCACCCCCTCCCTGCATTATTTAAATTTTAATATGAAGAAACTAAGTTAAAGCTTTTTGTCCACTATCACAGGTCTGTTAACTGGTGGAAGCTGAATTCAGCCCTGGCAGCCAGATCCCAAATCAAAAAAAAACAAAAAACAAAAAACCCCGCACTCATTTCCACTGAGTCAATTTTGACTCACAGAGACCTTATAGGACAAAGTAGAACTGCCCCATAGGTTTCCAAGGAGCGGCTGGTGGCTAGAAACTGCCAATCTTTTGGCAGATCCCAGATGTCAGGATTTCATTCGCTCCACTCTGCAGCTAATGGAGTGACTTAAAACTCCTCTTCCAAACTTGGACACATTGAGTGTGAAGAGGGATGGTCTTAACAATAAATATTCTTAATAATTATGCCTGACAACAACATAAGATCACCCTGGGAGGAAGGTGCCCTAAGCGAGGGAATGTGTCTGTGAAAGGTGATGAGGATGTGAAGTCTTGGGGCTGTGTGTAAAGCCTGCCTTTCTGTCTGTCCGTCCCCCTCTAGCCCCTTACCTGCATGGACAAGCTCCATGGCTGTTGAATAACAGAGTCCTCTTAGTCCAGAGAAGTCATATTTCCCTAGGTCTTGGCTGAACTCCTCAGCTTATCCTTGTCCTGTTCATATCTTTACGGAAGTGGTTGTTTTTCACATAGAAACTGGCGAGATAGATGGAGATTAATGGGGGCTCAGGTCTTAGGGGCACTGGGGTCACTGAGGTATGTTGGGTGGTCAGTGTGGGAGGAAATGCTTGAAGGAGAAGAGGCCCAGGTGAGGTGCAGGGAGAAGAGCAGATTCAAACCCTTACCCCTCCCCATGGTCCTGATTTCTAGGGACCCAGCTGTGGTGGGGAGAGAAGAACTGACCCAACCCCTAACCCTCTCCAAGTCTTCCTCCAAGGGCTGCTAAGAGTCATTCCCAGGCCCGCAATATAAAGACCCACTGACTTAACACCATCATTTAGAATGATTATATGCGTGTGTGTTTTCTCTCATAGTAGGTACTCCTAATTTAAAAAAAAATTAATTAGAGAATAAACAGATAATGAAATGCAAGGTGAAGATTAAAATGCAGGCCCAAGATAGAGAAGGAACTCGAGACTAGAGTGATGGGGATGCAATCCAAACTTTCACTCTTTGTGGTTCTGATATTCAGGAGCATCTGATGACCCAACCCTTCTTCCTTAGTTCCTGGATCCTCATCTCCATAGAGTTTTGAATGGCTGATTTTTGGAAGTAGATCACCAGGCCTTTCTTCTGAGGTGCCTCTGGCTGCTAAGCAAAACTTATTTCTGAACTTCAGGTTGGCAAAGACTGGGGCCTCAGCCCAGCCCCAGGGCTCCGGTGGGTCTCCAAATAGCTGTGTTACCAGAGGGGACCAAGAGATGGGGGAACTAGGATAAGATATGGAAGTGTGTGTGTATGTAGAAAAAGAGAAAACCAGGTAGATAGACACCAAGGGGCAAAGAGATGAAATGAAGTCCCTAGTAAGGAAGAAGTTTGAATTCTAAGTTTATGTCCAAGGGAGGGGTGGGAGTGGTTCTCATCACCACCAGAACCTCTTTCTCTATCAGGGTTTTTGGAACTCTTTCCCCACCAAGCCTGGCCCCATGGTGATGTCAGGAGGGAGTATGACTTTGTGGGGTCCCTCAGAACCCTGGGCAACAGGTTTCCCCTTTGGAGGGGGTGACTGGTCCTCATGGCACTATGTGATTGAGACCACACTTGGTCACTCAAGGGTGAATTCCCTGTGGGCCTAAGGATACCATGATTCAGTCAGCCAAACTTCCATGTGCAGTTACTCACTGGGACCCACTGGAGTGGAGATCCCAGCAAGAGAACCCATGGCATCGCCGTAAGCTCCAATGGTCCTTGTTACTGAACCATCAGGACAATGTCCCCAGGAGACCCTAGGTATTGGGAGGTAGTCGGGGACGTATAGAGATGGTTGGACAGAATTACTGAAAACAGGAGTGTCCCAACATCGGCCTCTTCTCAATTTCTTTCCAAAATGCTCAGATGCTGGTATTTCAGTGGAGAGACTGGGGAAATACAAAAACTGAATTAGGAGTCAGAGGGGCTGTGATGAGGTGGGATAGAACAAAGGCAACCCCACCCTTCTGTCAGAGCCAGGTCAGCCAGTTCAGGGCTGGGAGCACACAAAGGGCAATTGCCAAGTCACGGGTCAGGGTCCCTGCCGCTTACATTGAGAGGCAGTAGGCGTTCTGGTTTCTCGCAGTTGGGAGGGCAAACCTTCATGGCAAACTGATATCTCCTTGCATCCTGTGATACAGGAAGGTGGGTGACTTGCCCTAGATAAGGGAGCTAAGTTTGATAGAGGGAAGATTTCAATTTTCCATCTTTGCCCTGCCTCCTGCTTGGTCTTGTTGACTTGTTGTAAGAACTGGGGGGAGGGGAGTGAATCCCTGGGTTCCAGGTGCACTCAGAGAAGGAGGTGGGAGAAGGCATCTAAGGAAGTCAGTTGCAAGGACATTTGTGCTAAAGAGAAGGTCAAGGTCACAGGGAGGACTTAGGAAGCTGAGGTCAGCCTGAGAAGGGGAAGGAAAGGCTACCCCAGCATTGCACCAGCCCTTTCTGATTCCTAGGAGGCCCCAGTGACATCAGTCCCTCACCCACAGAAGCAGGCTTCCAGACAGGTAAGCCACCTGGAACTCTGCCCAGGGGGAAGTGCTGGGTGGAGACAGAGTCTGGCCAAGAAAGTGGGGTAGGAGCTCCTATTTCAGCGATCTGGGTTGGATGGGTCTTGTCCACCTGTTGGTGACCCCGCTGTCTTGCTTCCAGCCCCCACCTTGCAGAATTACAAGGTGGGAAATTGTGTCCACCTGGGCCTGGCATGTGTGGTCTTGTTGATGCTGCTGGTGATTCTGGCGGAAGCTTGGCACAGCCAGTGCAGATCCCAACGTGGCCCCACAGGATGGAGACAAGATGGCACCAGTCAGAGGGATTAAACTCCAGGCCCAGGATGCAAACACAATGGCACCCATGAGAAAGATTAGACTCCGGGGGCAGCAGGGCATCTCCAAGGACTCTGAGGCTCATGGCTGAAGCCTGAAGGACAGCAGGGCCCTCCATGGGCAGTGTGCTGGGAGTGCCCCCAGAGAAGAGGCTACCCCTGGCACAGCGGGGGGTGTAAGGAGAGAGAAGGATCTTGACAGGATGTTCTGGAAAGCCATCTGGAAGCAGCAGTGATGTGCTCCATTCCTTTCTTTGTCAGTCTTCTGTCTCAATAGGTTTGCTTCCATGTCTGATTCTGATAATCATGACACCTTATCTCATACTTTCTGGAATCTCTCTTCTCCTCCGAGTTTTAAATCAAGGATACCGTTTTCCTTCAGCCTCAGTCTTCTTCTCCTACTTCCTCCCTGCACTCGGTTTCAGAGGCTCCCCCAGCTTGAGCTGACGTATCTGCAGTCTCCATTCTCTCCGTTTTGTGATATCAGCATTCAGAGATGACCCTTGCATATCTGAGCTGACGACTCCCACGTTAGAATCTTCCTGCAACCTACTACCTCCTGGAGTCCAGCTGCATGCTGAGCATTGGAAACTTGACATTCATGGCCCTGGTTTTCACAACTACTGACCATCTGTCACCTTTCTTACCCAGTGAGGCTCTGACTGTACCTTCCCTTGGTCTTGGCACATCCCATTCTCTTCTCTTCCTAGAATGGTCTCTGTCCTTGTCTTATCTGATACTCTTCATCAGCTTAAGTGTCTTGATCAAATGTTCAGGGAAGTCTTTCTTGTTAGCCTCTGTATCTCCTTGCCTTGTATTAGAAGTAAATGCTGCTGTTTTAAAAATAAATTATTAAAATGATCATCGTACTTCAACCCAAGTATTGGATCCAAGCTTCACTTTTTCCATACAAATATACTTAATTTTGACTTCATAAAATTTAGAGACATATAAGCAGCAAAGAGTATTACAAATAACAAATATTAAGCAAAAAGAGACAAAGTAAGTGTCTTAGTCATCTAGTGCTGCTATAACAGAAATACCGCAAGTGAATGGTTTTAACAAAGAGAAGTTCATTCTCTCACAGTCTAGTAGGCTAAAAGTTCAAATTCAAGGCATCAGCTCCAGGGGAAGGCTTTCTCTCTCTGTCGGCTCTGGAAGAAGGTCTTTGTCATCAATCTACCCCTGGTGAAGTAGCTTCTCAGGCTCAGGGGTCCTGGGTTCAAAGGACACGCTTTGCTCCCAATGCTGTTTTCTTGGTGGTATGAAGTCCCCAACTCTCTGCTTGCTTCTCTTTCCTTTTATCTCTTGTAAAATAAAAGGTGGTGCAGGCCACACCGCAAGGAAACTCCCTTTACATTGGATCAGGGATGTGACCTTAGTAAGGGTATTACAATCTGGCCCTAATCCTCTTTAACATAAAATTACAATCACAAAACAGAGGACAACCACACAATACTGGGAATCATGGCCTAACCAAGTAGACATTTATTTTGGGGGGACACAATTCAATCCATGATAGTAAGAAACAAATAATTGCCACATACCAACTTCCCAAGATTAATCTGTGAGTTTATGGATAAATTCATTAAAATACTAATGAAATTCAGCTAGAGGTGTGGTTTTTGTTGATTTGGTTCCATTCTTTCTTTCTTATTATTGTGTGTGTGTGTGTGTGTGTGTGTGTTTTTAATCCGATCAACATTTATTGAGGTAAATATGAAATTACTTGTACAGATTTCTTATACTTCATAGCATATAAAAATGGTCTTTTATGTTTCAAACATCTCTACTTCAACAAGTGAAATTTCAAATATAGTTTAAGTAATAGTGGACCAATTATTGAATTAAAATTCAATATTTATGCAACCTAATTCTAGACAGTCCAATGAAAGGAAAAATATATTCTTAAGAATTCTGTTAAAAGATCTATAGTCTGATGATAATGTCTTAGGAATTGTCCTTATATAAAACTTCAGTATGACCAAATGCATCACCAGTTAAGTAACCAAAATTAAACTAAAAAGACAACAATCAGAATTAATTTAAGGAGACTTCTGGGCAACATGGTGCTATAGACAGAAGCACCATGCTGTTCCTCCACAGCAAGGATCTGAAAAACTAAGTCAAACAGAGAAAACGTCAATCCTGAAACCTTAAGCATCAAATGAAGAGATAAAGAACTTAGCCAAACACTGAATGAAATAAGAAACTGACAGAGAACAGAGAGTGAGGAGAGATACATGCAGAGGTCCACTATCAGCTTATGCAAAATGGATCTGCCATCTTGGACTCCTATTGGAGATCGGTGAACAGGAGGTACAGGAAAGCAGTTTCACAGAGCTTCCAGAAGGAGAAGAAACAACCAGTAACTAGCAATATACGCTTTTCCACACCCCACCCTTCTTCACCCCCCACTCAGCCTCTTCTGTTTTTTGCAGCCACAGTCTCTTAGCTGGGAAGCACCAGCTTCACCCCAGTGCTGCTTGGATTCCACCCACCCGCACTGGCCGGATCCCTGAGTGACATTTGTTGGCTGCTGGTGTTGCTTTTTTCTACTTCTTTTGATTTCCTCTATACCTCTCCCCACCTCCATTTCCTTTCTCTCAAATACCTGGCTCCATGCACCATCTTTGCTTCTTCCTAAGAGGCTGTGAAGCGCAGCTTAAGTGTGGGACTGCTTCTGTGCCCGTGCTGCCACACTGGTGGGATCCTGGGGCTTTTTGTTTGTTTGTTTGTTTTGAATTGTTTCTTTGTTTGTTTTCTTTTTCTTTTCTCGAATTGGGAGCCCATTCTAGCTGGGAATTACTGTGTGACTTGGGACCTACCCCCTCAGTTTACGCAGACGTGCAGAGGGATCCCTGAGCGCATTTCTTTTTTCTTTTTTTTCCTGGTTTTTTTTTGGGGGGGGTTATCTTGTTTTTTTTATTTGTTTGTTTTGTTTTCTTTTCTCTCTTTTCCCTTTTTTGTCTTTCTTCATTACTCAGTTTCTCATCTCTCTGTACTTATCTTCTATTCCTGTTTCCTGAATACCTGCTGCTGAGTGACACCTCTACCTCTTTTGGCAGGCTGTACTTCACGGCCTGAGAGCAACTTCCCCAGATCTCACAGCTGCACCAGTGGGATCCCTGGGGGCTTTTCTTTTCTTTTTTCTCTCTAATTTTTATTTATTCACTTGTTTCTTTTCTTTATTTTCCTTCTCCTTTTTGTTTTTCTCCATTTCTCAGTCTCTCATCTCTCGACTCCAAAGTCAAGCTCCCTTAGCACTCTTTTTTGTTTGTTTGTATGTTTTTGGCTCCTGTTCCTCTCTCCTCTTTCCCATACCCATCTTAGCTCCACACATCACAATCTCCCCCCTCCATCCTGCCTACCTGCACCGTGCATTGAACATCACACCCCTAAGCAGCACAGGCATGGCCTACCAGAACCT